ATCTATTCTATTTGAGAAGATCTTCCTCTGGCAGACTTCCTGCAAATCACCTCCCTCACCCAAGGAAGAGAGATGGGTTTTCCCTGCCACAGGAGCTAAGCCCTCCAAGCTCACTCTGTAGAAGCTGATACCCAGGAAGAGGAGGCCATGGGTGAGGAGGCTGCAGAGATTTGCCTCCTAGGGCATAAGATAGGTACCTCTCTCCAGAAGAGACAGAACCAGCTGAGTCCCCTCCGTATCTCTAATTAAAATATGAGGCATGCTGACCTGGCTTTCTTTCTAGAGGTCTGGGATGCTTAGCTCATCCGCCTGCAGCAGAAATTCTGAAGTGTCAGTGTGATTACTAAAAGTGCAGATTTATGTCCCATCCCATTCTTACTCTGGGGAGGGAGAGTGGGAACTGTAATTTTAAAGCACTACAAGAAATTCCAAAGTGCCTAGTGTCTAGGTAACACTTAGGGAACCTCTGGTTTACAGCAATGCTCCCAGCCTGGGTGGGTCATGGGATGCACGGTCCATTGAAGTTTCTGGGAGAATTTTTACCTTTTGTGTTTTTGTTCTGATAATTTTTCAAATGTTAAGAATATCCTGGATTACTTATAGCCAAGAGTTCTGCTGAAGTGTTTACAATTATGTTGGCACTGAGTACTTTTAACTTTCCCTTGATCTAGTGAGTCTTTGCACAGATTCAGATTTCTTTCTTTTAAATTACTCCATTGCCCTCCCTCCAAGGGCAATGGAGTAATAGATCCTCTCCAAGGATCTATGAATCAAAATTTATCCACCTAAATCCCTGTAGATGGAGTACTGTTTCCAATTTTTCATGACTGTGAACAATGCTATAAGAAAGATTGGTATGTATCTTTACATCCATATTTACACGTCTATAATTTACACATAATTTATATTTTTCCCATCTTCTGAAGCATTTCTATGGGATAAATTCCAAAAGGTATGAGCAATTATAACTATTGGACGTTTACAGTCCTGGAAGCTGAGTGTTCACACCAGAGTGATGCCGAAATCACATAATTTCATTTGTTCAGGAACAGAACAGAAGAAGGAAAGGGCACATTTTGACAAATAACATGGACATATTGAATTTGGGAGGTTTATGGGATGCCCAATAAGCAATGGGCAATGGGCTTGGAGCTCAAAAGAGAGGACTTCTCCAAAGCGAAAGATGTGGGAAGTGCCACCCATGGGGGTGAGGGCAGCCTGGAGAGCAAGGACAGGAGGGAGGAAGAAGGATAAGGCCAGAACTCTGGAGCAACACAGAGGGACAGGAAGGGGACAGCAAGAGACTAGAAAAAAGGTCAGAAGGTCAGAGGAGAATCAGGAAGGAGAAACACCAGTGCCATAAGGGGAGAAAAAGTTAGAAGGCATGAACGATCCTCCATAAGCTGAGACTGTCCCTGATTTTCTTGTTCAGTGAAGTAGGTTACAAAACAGTATGTTCAATATAATATCAGTTTTCAACAAAAAATTAGATACACCCAAATGCTTAAGGAAAATTTCTGAAAGGAACAAGAGCAGCATTAAAAAAAAAAAAAAAGCAAAAAACAAAAGCCTGGAGAGTTTTGAGAATCAGAAACAGGAGGATGGGGCAGGGGAACTTTAACTTTTTATTTTGCACCATTTTGTACAGTTGGAATTCATTGTCATGAATGTACATTACTTTCTCACTAATGTTTTAAGGACCAATCAGCAGTATGATATTAAATTACCAGAGAGGAGAAGAAAGATGGGATTAAAAAGAATCCATGTTTTGTTTGTTTGTTTGTTTGTTTTGTTTTTGTTTTTTTGAGACAGAGCCTCAAGCTGTCCCCCTGGGTAGAGTGCTGTAGCATCACAGCTCACAGCATCCTCCAATTCCTGGGCTCAAGGGAGTCTCCTGCCTCAGCTTCCCAAGTAGCTGGGACCACAGGCGCCCGCCACAACGCCCAGCTGTTTTTTGGTTGCAGCTGTCATTGTTGTTTGGCAGGCCCGGGCTGGATTCGAACCCGCCACCTTAGGTGTATGTGGCTGGTGCCTTAGCCACTTGGGCCACAGGTGCCAAGCCAAGAATCCATTTCTTTAGCAAGAGGGGAGACAGGGTGACCTTTAGCAGAATGGTTTTAGGTGGAACTGTGAAGGCACTGCCACGGCCTAAAACACTGCTTCTTCAGCTTTACCAAGCAGAGAAGCCACCAGGGGATCTTGTTAAAATGCGGATTGTGATTCAGCAGGTCTGGCTGGGATTCCCCATTCCTAACAGCTTTCCACACAATATCAAGGTCCAAGTGCTATACTTTTGAGTTGCACAATAAAGCACGTAGAATGCAGGGACAGACGTTAGGGCAAAGAAACCGCTACTTCCCACAGTGTGTCCCCTGGAAGACGAACCCTAAGGCACACTCTGATGAAGAAGATTCCACAAGCAACAGGCTCGAGAAATACTCCACACCTACCCTGATGAGTCAGGTATGAGTGCTTCATTGAGAATTTTGGTATTGGCTTTTCGCTTGGGCATTCCTAACAGGTAGGGTTAACTTTGTAGAAATGAAAATATGTTTACCCCATTAGAATCCAATGTTCCTAACAGTCATCCTAGAAGGTGTGGGGAGCAGGAATGCAGGAGCAGACAGGCGGGACACTGATGTATGAAAAAGAACTATGTTTTGTCTCCAGTGCAACATCAGCAGAGGTCTCATAAAAGTGAGAAATTTCAAAAATAGACCTTGCTGGGAACAGGCACCAGTAAGCCTGGTGCTCCTCCATGGAAAATGCTAGAATGCCAGCAGATATCTGCAAAACTTTATTCCTAATATTTCTAGGTCCTTCTGAAACTTACCCTGGCACCAGCCCCAAAGCTGGCGGAAGAGCATACTTGTGAACGCGTAAACCTGGGTGCATTTGGACTACCGGAGGCTCCAGCAGACAAGAGCCAGATCCACAGAGGATGGCCTGACCTCCCTGTTGAGAGGTGCTGAGCTTGGCATGAGAACAAACTACCCTCCACAGTGATTAAGAACAGCCTGGGGGAGGCTGGGCAGCACTGATCTTTACTCACCTGCTGAGATGGAGCAACTGAGACCAAAAGAACCTCAGTGCTCAAATAACCTGCCAACAGCCCAGAGTCACCTGCTCAGGGCCTCCAGGTCTTGGCTGTCCTGAATGGCCTTTCAGATGCTCTTCACAGATTGTGCAGCTGAGGAGTGAGTTTCAATAGGAGACTGGATTTCAAAGGGCCCCTCTGTGCAGACCAGAGTGGAAACCATTCACCCTGGCATGCCTTTATCTTTTGAAAATACTGCCTCCTCTCTACCTTCTAAACTTGGCAGCAGAGAGTCCAAGCCTTATGAGGCAACTTGCACAGGGATTCAAATAACACCAAATTGGCCATGAAAGACACTCTGAAGCCTAAGCATTCACAGCTGTGTGTTCCATCCCCTCAGCCTTCCATCAGCTGTCTGCACAGCCAGTACCAATTGTGGTGTGTCTCTCAGATTTACAAGGGAGTGGCCTGCAAAATTCCCTTTCTCCTGGACCTTCAGATTTATATATTTTGAGAATAAATATATTCAAAAGCACCATGCACGTGGGGACTCCCTCAGAAACATTAAATTATGAGATAAAACAGAGACACATGCCCGTTACATAGAGCAGCATGAACACACACTCAGCGTAACTCAGCCTGACTATGTGGGGCCCCAGGAGGATGGAATGTTGTTCATGTTAATGCTGTTTTCAGTGCCAAACTGCAGGGTTCTCTCCCTCCACATTCAGAGTGGCGGCAAAGGGGCCCCAAATAGCTTTACTATTCATCTAACAAATACACATTCCCAACATTCAATTTGTCTTCAAATATCCTCCTTATCACACACACTGAATACACTTTAAGCTCTCAGGAGAGTTATTTGGAAAGTCAAGAGCCGGTTCCGTCGGCCCACACGGGATGCCACATGCCAGCAACCATGGAGCAGGCTTACCTTTTTATCCCATGTTCCCCATTCCAATGTGTTGATTTGAAAGAGTTTAGAAGCTAGTTTCCAATCTATAATGAGAAAGATTTTGTCCTCTATTTTTATAGGAAGCACTTTAATTGCTACTAATATCACTGAAGTGAGTATAGACCAAGGAGAAGGGGTACCCTTGAAATCATTGATTCCCAAAAGGCAAAATACTTCAAAAAAAAAAAAAATAGAAGAGATGGGTGGGAGAAGACTTTAAATTAGAGTTGTGCCCTTAGGATTTGTTTTAAAGTTCTGTCTGAGTTTCTCTACCCAGGAGCTGGGTAAAACTTCTCTATCTTCACCCATTAACAAAAATAGGATAAGCAGAGCTTCATTTGCTCATGGAACTGGCATTCCTTCCCTAAATTCCACAATATAACTGCAACCAGATAGGAGTGATCTGGGGGGAAGAAACTTCTCTAGTGTCCGGAAGAGCAAATAATGCATCTGAGGCCCTCATCACAAGATTTCTCACAGGGAAAACATAATGACCAAATTAAAATTATCCAAAGTTGTAAATGACTTCAAAAATTACAAAGTCACTTTGGGTCTTGCTTAGGCACAAGAGAAACTCCGGAACCAACTTTGGTCCCTGCCTTTCCTGACTAGCTGGGACACAGAAACCTCATCAAGGCCTAAATCCCTTGCTTCTGGGGTAAGACTACGATGGAGACTTGTCCACGTAAGAACACTCTGGGCTGGGAACACGCTGCCTGCCGGGGCTCTCCCTTCTGAGAAGGTGGGCCTGGAAATGGGCCTGGACAGTAACAAGAAAAGCATCACTTTCCAAGGTAGGAAACCCAGCCCGGGAATGAAAGGAGGGACACACTTGTTTTTAGACAGCCAGAGCGTTGACTTCTCCCATCTCCGCCCAGCCCACAGGGAATCCTTCTCTCGTCCACTGTTTGACCAGCACGGGGGTGACCACTGGGCTGAGCCAGATCCTCAGCCGGAGGGAGAACATAACCCCAAACACCACTGTCCTCAGGAGAGCTCTTGCATTACCTTTTTGCTTGTTGAAAAACAGCAGAGGAGGCGCGGCATGGGGACCTCGTGGTCCGGGGCTCTCAGGGCTCTGGTTGGAACCTGCCGCATCCGCAGGTGTCCGCGGGGACGTGGGCCCCTCGGGTGCCGGGGCTCCGTCTCCGGAGAGCAGCTCTGGGCGGGCCTGGGGGGCGGCCGGCACGAACGCAGGGAGGGGACCGGGCGCGCCCTCCTCGGCCCGCGCGCCGGGCTCCTCCCGGATGGCGTCCAGGGCGCCCGGCTTCATCGGCGGCGAGTCCTGCTCACGCTTGGGGCTCTCCTCCGAGGCTGAGGACGCGTCGCACGACTCGATGATGAGCTCGCTGTCCAGCTCGGCTTCGCGCTCCTCCCGCAGGATGCTGTACTGGATGGACGGCGAGGCGGGCGACGGCGGCGGGCCGCCCACGTGGCCGAAGGTCACGTAGCCCGAGGGGAGCGCGTCCTCGGCGGCCATCGGGTCCTCGGACACCAGCTCGATCTCAGAGTCGCCCGATTCCGCGCTGCTCGCCTCCTGGTCCAGGGGGCTGGGGATGGTCGGCCGCCCAGACCTGGCCTTGACTGCGGGCCTGTCGGCCACCTGGCCGGCCGGCCGCGGGCTGTCGGCAGAGTCGAAGGACAGCCCCTTGGACTCTTTAATGGCGGTGATGAGCTCGTCCTCCGAGATGCTGCCTTTCCCCTGGGACTCCGCAGCAGATGGCTCTGTCGTCCCACAGAACCGAGGAGCCAGAGAGGCACACACACGGACAGACAGATGGACAGACAGAGAGGAAACAAAACAAAATTCCATTAGATGTTTTGCTTGAGAAACGTATTTCATTAGCACGAAAGTAGTCTGTTTCCAGGGCAATACTGGAAACCTGGGCCACCTGAACTAAAAGGCTAATGACTGCTGATGGCCCAATGAGTCAGTTTTGCATGTTTGTCTATCTTAATCTAGCGATTTTTTTTAAATGACCCAGCAATTTCTTAGCGACAGAACTTCAGTTGTTTCTTTTTGTTTCAATGCAGCATAGATTCTAGAAGTCACCATTTTAATTTGATTCATTCTCTTGGGGAAGTTTTTCAGTTTTCACAGATTTCATGAGATAATCTGATGTACATAACTAATTGGGCCACCAATATGAACAGGTCTGGAAGTCATCCACTATTCTCACAGTTGCTCCTTTAATAACCGAGATAGGTAATTTGGAGGCTTGGATACAACCTGACTGCTGAGCTTTACCTATCATAGTTCTACGCTTTTCTAGTGGAGACTGCAACTGGGGGGAGTAATGTAAGAGATAATTTTTGCCAATTCCACCAAGCAGACGGTGTGGATTGCATAATGCATAATCCCATAAGCCTTGGGCAACCTGCTGCATTCCTGCCCTTCCTTTCACCTCCCTCACCTCCTCTGGAGAAGAACAAAGCCTGAGAGTCACCCCAGTCCCCTGGGTGAATGCCTGCCTTCTGCCTGATGTTTATCCAGATGGCCCGAAGGCCACACTCCTTATCTTGCTGAGCTCTTTCTCCCGGTGAATGAGAGACCTGGGATCACCATGACAACGGTGTTCTGGAGCTTGGTTTTCCCTTGCCACACAGCAGGGCCTTCTTTCAGAATATCTTAGACACTGGTCCTTGGGTCCTTTTGTGAGCAAGAACAAGCTGGCATTTCTCCAAAGCTTTGAGGTCACAGGGGTGGGGGTGGGGGGGATCTATGCCTAGATCCTCATTGCTTCAGGATTATGGGGGACCTTGATGGATAAAACAGTTTTGATTTTTCTAATTCATTATAAAGCAGAATTGATTGTATATTTTATCATTCATTCACGCATTCATTCGTGTTTTATTGAGAATCTAGTGTCTGTTAGGCCCTTTTCCAGGCACCTGGGATGTATTAGTGAATGAAACAGACAACAAAATTTTTTTACTGATATCCTAGTAGGAGGAACACAATATATATGTAAATAAATATGTTTATTATTTTATAAATATTATTTATATTACTTATATAATAATATATATGGTATTTACAGTATATAAATAGTATATTAGAAAAGTCTAAGTGTTATGGGAAAATATAGAGTAGGGTAAGGGAATCCCTAATGCCAGGACAAAGGGGAACAGAGAAAGGGTATGCTCTATGAGCTACGGGCTTTTGTTCCTTTAGTAACTAAAAAAAAAAAAACACTTCATTATCTCTCACATAATTGATGTTTTTAAAAAATATATTGTATGATTCCAAACTCTACTTTTATAACACTTAGTTTCCTAGTTGTGCACATATTCTTTGATTTCAAATAGCACAAAAGTCTAAACGTTTATATCAGCTTACTCCTGAATGGCAGGCAAGAACAAGGAAAAAGAAGGTAAGGAGTACAGGCTGCTGTAAGTTAGGGGATGTTCTGTACATCCAGACCACCAGCAGCAGCTTCGTCACAGCTGCATTTGTTGAGCATCTACTACGTGTCAGGCACTTTACCTGGAAAGTGGAAATGGGTTAAGTGACTTGTCCAGGGAAATATAGTGGTTTTTCTCTTTTTGCCCCCGTAAGTCCATTCTAATCCTTCTCTGCCCTGTTCTGTCCTCTGAGAGGCTGATCTATATAGAAGGGATTACCCAGGATCCCTTCTCCTCTGGTTTCAGGGGTTTCTATTTTTGGTTTTCTGTCTTTTTTTTTTTTTCCCCAGCCCATAGGAAGCATGAAGGAGGAGGGAAATGTCGAGGTATTTATCCCCTCTGCTGCTTCTGAAGATCCAGCTTTTCCCACATTTCAGGAATTCTGGTCCTGCTTGCTCCATTAGGTCTAGGGGTGGTACTAGCTCCCTAATGGCTTTTCATCATTTGTTGGTTCTCTCGACCATCTTTACACATCTGTAAGTAGCCCATTCCATAAACTCCCTTCAATTGCAATCTCGAGCGTGTCACTTGTTTCCTGCCAGGACTCCAAATGATAAAGGCACCTGGCTAGAAATGGTTTGGCTTGAATTTGAACATGTTTTTCTATTTCTTGTGTTTTTTCCACTATTTCATACTATACCTGTTTAAAAGCAGTGTGGGGTTTGAGATGGGCAAGTTATATTTTGGAGGATGAGAAAGAAGAAGAAAAGTAAACTAGAAAAGCACAAGCCAAAGAATAAAGCTGGACTCCTACCTATGTCATAATCAGGAATTCACTCAAATCAATTAGTAACCTGAATATAACAGCTAAAACAATAATAGAAGCCAACATAGGTGGGAATCTTTGTGCTCTTGGATTAGATAATAATTTCTTAGCTAAGACTCCAAAAACAGAAGCAAAAAAGAAAAATGGATTAATTGGTCTTCACTAAAATTTCATGCTTTAGAGAACACCATCAAGAGAGTGAAAGCACAGTTCACAGAAGGAGAGAAAATATCTGCAAATAATATGCTATATCTGATGAGGGACATGTATCCAGAACATATAAAACACTGGGAGGACTAGAAGCAGACTTAGCACATAGCTCTTGAGGAGAGGATCAAAAGTTGCAGGCAGATGCTTATCTACAGATGGCTCTTCCTGGAAAGAACGTAAAACACCAAAGAAGCAATAGAAAACATTCAGAGTGAAGGAGAAGGTGACGGAGAGATTCATTTGGCAAGATTGAAGGAAACTTTGGGGAGGCATCCACACATGGGGAAGGACGGGGGGAACCCTGAGGCTCCATGTTCATCCTGCAGGCACTGTGACCTAGCTGTGAGGCCCCCACCATCACCACAGGCTTCTGGACTGATTGGCAAGTTGCTTGGAGGTTATACAGAGACACACACAGAAGAGTGGGTATAGCAGGGATGTGGTGGCAATTCCAAGTCACTGCAACTGACACCATTTGGAGCTCTCAGGTACAGGGTGCCAGGTATATGCAGAGGCTCAGAACTGCAACAGAAGCCTTTGAAGTGCCCCTGCTGGGATGGAGTGGGAGTGGACAGAGCAGATGCCCCTCTTTGCCCCTGTGACTGGGAGCTGAACACGTCTTGCTCCCTGAGCAGAGGGATGCCTGAGGGATGCCAGCACAGTGGCTGCTTCACTGGGATCTGGGCCAGGGGTAACCTTAGCCACGTGGTGGTCCCAGCTCACTCCCAAAATCTTGTGACCCCCAAATTGTTTCCCACTCTGTGTGGCTCTACCTCTGGATTCTGAATTGCTGGAACTACCCCACCAATGCAGCCCACCTCTTCAGTTCTGGCACTGTTTTCTGACACCATGGCCTTGCCCAAATAGCTCCTATCCTACCACCAGGCTGCAGCTCCAGCTCTGAAGTTCCAGCTGTAGCTGGGCTGGAGGCTCTGCCCCAGGTTTCACTGCAGCTTCTGGGATTGCAGCTTTGCCCCTCTGAGGTTACAGTGCTGACTCTGGAACCCAGAACTCTGCCCCCGTGGCTTCAGTACTACTGCTGGGCCCATGATTCTACCCATGAGATTCCAATGCTGTGCTTAAATTCCAAGACCCCACACATAAATCTCCACCACTACTGTTGGGCCTACAGAACCAACCCAGGACAATGCTCTGCCAAGGACCCTACAGCTTCCAGTCACCATTATACCTAGACCCAGTTTGAGCAAATGCCCACAGCCCAGAAACCCATGACCATTGCCTAGATAGCCTCATTAAGCTGCCACTGTCACCTGTGTGGGGAGACAGAACAATCCCCACAACTCCAGCCTCTATGGAGAGAAGTATTACCTAGGCCCTAACTTGAGCTTCCAATACTGATCTAGGAATAATCCACTACCCCACCCTAAGATCATCCAGCACTGGCTGGAACTGTGGTAATCACAGTGGAATGGGAGAAAAGAAAACAATTGCATTACAGGCTCTCAGTGTGCCCACCTATTCCTGCTGGGTCAACATTCCAGAGCAGGACAGAAATGTGCCATCTAGGGACTTTCCCTTCTTTTTACTAAGTAGGAGAATTCCCAGCAAAGAAAACATGCCTTTCAAATCTAAAAGGCCTGAGTTGAGAGAAGAGGATTCAGATGAGAAGAAACCAGCAAAAGATCTCTAACAACATGAAAGAACCAAACAGTTCAAAACCCCAAAGGGATCACAATGGACCTAAAGTAGTAGACCACAACCAAAAAGGAATTGTTGACATGTCAGAAATGGAATTCAGAATATGGATGGCAAATAAAATGAATAAAATTAAAGAGAAAGTTGATCACCCCCCCCATAAAAAGCCAAAAAAATTCAAGAAATCTATGAAAAAAATGAAAAAGTCATTAAATAAATAGACAACATAAGAAAGGATAAAATAGAATTTAAAGAAATTAGACAGTCATTTAGGGGCTATAAAATACAGGAGAAACCTTTAGTAATAGGCTAAACCAAACAGAAAAAAGAATATGAGAGCTTGGATAGAAAGCTCTCAAACTAAAGCATGCATTCAGAGATGTAGAAAAGAGAATAAAGACTGAACAATCACTCAGAGAAACATGGGACTGTGGAAAGAAAATTACTATATGAATTATAGGTATTCCTGAAGGAGAAGAAAAAAGAACAAGAAACAGGAAAAATCTATTCAAAGGAATTAATGAGAAAAACTTCCACGGTATTGCCAGAGATTCAGATATCCAGCTATACAAGATGGTCACTGAACTCTAGGAAGATTCATAGCAAACTGGACAACAGGACATCTCCAACATACATAGTTATCAAGCCAAAGTTGAAATGAAGGAGAAAATTCCACAAGCAGCATGAT